TTTTTGGGCAGATCTGCGAAGATGTAATTGTTGGGGGGGCGTTTTGTTAAAATCCGGCCAGTTGGGAGCTCCCAAGCGCTCCACAAGCGCTCCACAAATTTGTGGAGCGCTTGGGAGCTCCGAAGCTCTCCACCGCCACGTCAGCGCTTGGGAGCTCCTTGGGAGCGCTGAGCTCCGAACTCCACCGCCACGTCAGCGCTTGGGAGCAGGTTAGGAGCGCTTCGGAGGCTGTTGGAGGGGGTTCAATCGGAGAGCACATCCACGTCGGAGCTGAGAGCGGAGCTGGGAGCTTGCTGCCCATGCTCTTACAGATTGTGATAAGAGCATACTAATGAGAAAAATAATGTGATGAAATTTTTGTGGAGGAGCAACTTCCCTCCAATCATTGTGAAACTGTGTGTCATTCCAATATGATTTCACAAAAGGCCTAGTGTCCACAAAGAAGAATTACAAACCAACTAAATAGCAAAGTACATAAATTCACATGATAAGTGGTAGATTATTAAGAAAAGGAAACATGTAGTATATTATATATCCTAAAGAAATCATGAGAAAAATACAATTTGGAGCAGAATTGTTATAAGTGAATCAAAGATATTAAATTTGCATCATTCACACATACCTTGAAGGGAATCCGATATATTCTCAATATGCTTAACCTTAAAACAGTAAGTAAAGAAACATAAACTCAAAAATGTTTCAGCTGCTTTCAAACAAAGTACAAATTAGGTAAAATAAACTCAAAAAAAATTATTTCAGCTGTTCCTCACTATCCAAATAACAGGTAAATAAAAAGCTCTCAACTTCAACTGATTTATCTGGTGCTAAAATGATAGGAATGCAAGAGCCAATAGCAACCTGTAAACTTTCAAAATAAGCAAAGCAATAGAACATTCCATCTCTGGTAGAAACCCCCTGATTCTACCTTTAAAGCCCACACAAGGTTCAGGTCTATGGAAAAGATTGCAAAAGGCAACTATACATTTGTATCCCCATCAAGTCCTCACACAGTAAATCAAACAATTCCAATTACGAGTAAAGATTGCAGATTTCAACAAGGGACCCAATTTCAAGAAACAAAGTTGAAAACAAAGAAGAAGCTCTATGATCAAATGAAGAAGCCATCAAGAAATTTAATGTAACTGGTTAATTACTATCTAAAGATGTATATAGTCAGTGAATCGTACACTAAAACTCTTAAACATGAGAAAGATTATATAATAACACGAGTTGTCACAAAAAAGGCCCAGATTGTATTCTGACAACACACAAATGAGAATACAATATGAACAGCTGACCAATTTGATTCCACTTATCCATAGGAACAACATACATCTAACTAACAAATACTTACAACAAAAACCAAGTTTCAGCGCAGAGCTCGCCCATTGCAACAACATACATCTAACTAACAAATACTTACAACAAAAACCAAGTTTCAGCGCAGAGCTCGCCCATTGCCAACCGAACCCCAATCCCCTGCAACACCCATCAACAATTACTCAAAATCCCAACAAAATGAGTGCCAAATAATATCAATATATCCCAATTCCAGAAAAAAAAACTCATTAAGAAACTAAGTACCCATTTCTCAAAAACGAAAATAAACAAAAACCCATATCGAAAGGGAGAACGGCGTGAATCCCTCCTCTGCCTTCGTCGGCGAATCGATGGCCTGCAACCAGCTCGAATTCCTCCTCTGCCTTAAAAAATACACAATAACTTAAAAAAATCATCAAGCCCACAAAATTAACCAAAAAAATCGAGAGGAAATTCTCACTGAGTATAGAAATAGAAAGTGATAGCTCCTTGATAAACAACCAAAAAAAATTCGAACCAAACAAGTAACTTTCTGACCTTGATCCCCTTCAGCTCGTCGGTCGATCCGTACTTGATGACGCCGGTGATGGTGTCGGCGTAGTGGACAAGGTAATTGAAGTGGATATAGCAGGGGGATTGGAGGTTGACGGTGAAGTGGCCGTTGGAGGAGACGGAGAAGGATTTGATGGAGTCTGGGAGGAGCTTGTGGATTGACGATGGTGGCAACTTTCTGATACTTATGTACAATGTCATGATGTGAAACTAACAGAGAAAAATACAGAGCAATAAAAAATCATCATATACATAATCGAGACAACCATCGCTCGAACATCAAGATCCCAAAGATCAAAATTGTGGGCCAAAAAATTGAGAAAACCCCCTTAAAAATTCCAAAGATCGAACCTTGACGACGGCAATCACAAGACCTCGGATGCCTCTAGCATCTGCTTGCCACGTCCCCAGACCAACCACCGGGTCCTTAGCGCCGGTGTTCAGTTCAAAAAACATTGTCATTGTCTTCGTCTAGAGAGAGAGAGTCTGCCGATTTGACGAAGAGGGAACCGAATCCAATCATGGAGCAGAGCGAATCTGAGGCCGACCATGGAGGAGGATGGGGCTGTCAAGGAGATGCAGAGGAGGGGGGATCTCGACACCGTCGAGGTCGGCGTGGAGATGTGCCGGAAGTTTGGGCGGAGGAGGATGAAGAATTGGGGATCTGAATAGTTTTTAGGGTTTTTACATAGCGGGAAATGAAAAGATAGGGGGGAAATTGTGGCGCTGGATCTCAAAACCAAAATATCGGAGGCATTCCGTCCAGAATGCCAACCTAGACGGAATTTTCCGTCTAGGATGAGGCAATCTAGACGGAACAGTCTAGACGGAAATAATTCCGTCTAGTTTCCCTCAAACTAGACGGAATTAAATTCCGTCTAGGTTGTTCCGTCTAGTTTGACTGATTTTCTACTAGTGAATACAAATATGGTTAGTTTGCTTGCCTCTTGAGTGTTTGTAATTAAAACTAGTATCTTGGAGCTTGCAATACGTGTGTGGTATGAATTGCGTATTTCTCCACTTTTAAGGCGTTGTTTGCAGCCAATTAAAACTTAGCGTGAATTGACCCAGCTCTTCTTAGATCATTTTTAGTCCTCAAAACCAGACCAGAATTAATCCAGTTTGTATCTTGGACCAACTGTGGCCTAGTTAAGGAATAATACTAGTATGACCTTGTTTTTACTGGATCGCCAAACAAAGTTGTGTTTGGCAATCTATCAAAAACAGGTTAAGGGTCAAGCTTGACCAGTTTTATCCTAAACTAGTTTTAGTCTGGATAAGGGGAGGGGTGGCCCGAACTAGAACCGATTTAGTGGGCATTTTTTGGCAAATAAAAACTAGTTCAGGTTTGGGTCAATTTTAGAGGGTTGTCATGCATACACACCATAAAGGGATATGTTTGGCAACTTTAAAGAAGTAATTTTAAGGAATAGAAGAATTGTCTAATAACTAGTTTTTTATGCGACAAAACTTAGATTTTTTTTAATTGTTTTTCTTATTTCAAACTATAACTCTTAAATAGTTTTCTTTCACACTAACTTCTCCATGCACGATGGTCTAACTAGTTAAGGAAAACCTAGCTCTAGGCATATTTTGAAATGTCTAAAAGCACCAACAAGTAAACTATTCCAGCGAGGGTAAATATGAAAATGCTGTAAACATAGTCACGTGCTATGCCCACGGGATGTTATTAAGCGCCCTTTTGATCAGACTAGGTGGAAACCATTTAGGACAAAGTTATTCTAGTATCTTAAACGGAAAAATATCCATTTTGCAGAAAATAATTAAGAACTCATGAAAATAAAACAGTCAATAAAGCTGAATTTGATCAAATACCTCCTTTGTGTCCTGCACATTTTAGCTAGGTTGATCATAAGCTATTGACTTTTAAATTTTAATTAAACAATTTAGTTTCAGGGTTAATTTGTTTGGCTGATCCTCCCGTAGAGTCCGGGAGATCTCATTACCTACTAGCAGTGGGCCCAAAACAGACGTCGAAAGAATTTAGAGGTAACCAATTCAGTTCCCATATAAACTCAAAGGTTTTTTTTTTCATATTAGTCCTTTGAACCTTTAATGTTTTGAATTTGCCCCTCAAATCATTGAAATTATCATTAGGCCCCTTAAATCTTTAACTATTTTCATGTAGACCCTCAAATTATTGAAATTGCTACCAGGTCCCCAGCTCTTAAGTTATTTTCAAATAAATGCCTCCTATCAAAAGCGGAATTAGCAATTTGAGGAATTACTTATAAATAACTTATGAGAATTGGGAATCGTTATAATCCCCACACACACATATATAGATATACATACACATATAATTTCTCTAAAGTTGCATAACTGTATGTTTTGCTCAGTAATTCCTTCAATTATTACTTCTCCTCTTTATTGGAGGGACTACTTAATAAATAGCTCAAGAATTTGAGAACCTAATTGTAACGTCAACAAATTGAGGGAGTAATTTCAAAATAGCTCACAATCTATTCCTTTATACAAATAGGAGGATCAGAGAATCACTGTTCATCAAACAGTAAATTGAACAGTAGAGTATAACTGTAGCAAGAACACGAATTTCAATACCCATTTATTGCACCGCACAAACAAGTCTTTCTACAGTAAAAAATAGCAGCATACGCTAAAAAACGACAATCTGTCAAAACCAAGGCTTGCTACAGCATTTTGTGGGCCCCACATATACCACTTACAAAATTCTTCAGTTTACACCTCATATACATATATACATGGGTAACCAAAAAAACAAAAGAGAGGCAATTTGTGGAAAAATTAAGTGGCAAAAGTAATCAAACTTGTTGCATACCTCTTCAAAACCAGGATCTGCTCTTCAACATTTCATGGGCTCCTACACATTCTTTTACAAAACTCACCAACTTACACCTCATATACATATAAATTGGTAAACTTTAAACAAAAAAAGAAAATAAATGGCAATCTGTGAAAAGAAAATTATTCAAAGTTGCTTGAATAAATCTTCAAACCAATCGTCGCTACAGTAATTTGTGGGCCCCACACATACCACTTGCAAAATTCGTTAATGTTGACACCTCATGTACATATAAATGGTTTTGCAGTTGACACCTCATGTACATATAAATGGTTAACCAAAAAAAACAAAAGAGAGGCAATATGTGGAAAAACCAAGTGGAAAAAGTAATCAAACTTGCTACATACCTCTTCAAAAACAGGCGTTGCTACAGTAGCTTGCGGGCCCCACACATTCATCTTACAAAATTTTGAAAATAACCACCAAAATGTTGAATGCAAAACTCTTCAAACCATCTGTTCAAAAGAGCGGCAATCTGAAAAAAAACTTTAAACAAAAAAAGAAAATAATTGGCAATCTGTAAAAAGTACATTATTCAAAGTTGCTTGAATAAATCTTCAAACCAATCGTTGCTACAGTGTTTTGTGGGCCCCACACAAGCCACTTGCAAAATTCTGCAGTTGACACCTCATGTACATATAAATGGTTAACCAAAAAAAACAAAAGAAAGGCAATACGTGGAAAAACCAAGTGGAAAAAGTAATCAAACTTGCTACGTACCTCTTCAAAAACAGGCGTTGCTACAGTGTATTGCGGGCCCCACACATTCAGCTTACAAAATTTTGAAAATACCCACCAAAATGTTGAATGCAAAACTCTTCAAACCATATGTGAAAAGAGCGGCAATCTGAAAAAAGCAGCAAATCTGAATTTATGATATATTATAAGTTGTCAGGTAATAAAAGAGCAATAAGGAAATACATGTATACACTCTAAACTCTTTTCTTATTCCAAAAATCTCACAATAACCTCTGCCTTGGGTGAGTTTTTTTTACCCTCTCAATTTTCTTCAACATGTTCTTCAGATAACAAAATTATGCTAACTTATGCTATTTAGGTTTCAATTATATAGAAGTGGAAAAAGCTCTTGGACTTTTGGAATCAATCCTTAAATCATTCTGTAAGTATACTATGCACCTTTCAGTATATTTGTCTTTACATTCTGTAAGCATAGCATCACAATTTATCAACTGTTCAATTTTGAGGTCTTCTTTGTTCTTTAATTCATTTTAATTCATGAATATATACTTCTAGAATGTTAACTTATTGAATATTATTTGACTTTGATAGAACCTGTACACAATTTATATCTTCTCATCGTCTCATGATTCAAAGTATGTTATTTATAAACTGGAATGTATGATGCACATTTAACACAACTTTTTGAGCATATGTGGAATGTATGATGCACATCTTTCGGAGCATATGATGGAGAATAATGAGTATATAAGCGAGTGAATAAGGTAACTTACCCGACATCTTTCTGAGCATATATGGAATGTATGATACCATTTACCAGAAATTCTCTCGGAGAATATTTCAATTCGCACTTTCGGAGAAAATCTCTTTCGGAACATATATGGAGAATATAAGTAGCAGCTCAATGGATGTTAGTTCTTTCACATCACCTTCATCTCCAAAGCTCATTGACAGAATAACAGGTAGCAATCTTTATATCTTTATAGTAACTAATGCCTAATTTGATAGTAAATAGAAATCTACTGCAATAACCTCAAATTATTGATAATATTACCTACAGAGTTCAATTCGCCGGAATCACAGATCATTCGACAGAGTTCAAATCGCCGGAATCAAAGTGAGAAAGTATTCACTCTTTGTTGACGCACTACAACTTTGACATAGTGGTACTCCTTAATACTAACTACCCATCATTTGTTTTCAGCTCTTCGAACCTATAAAAACAAAGAGAGAAAAGTAAAGAGGAAAGTTGTTCATACAGATAATGGTACCTGTAGCACTACCTCCATTCAGGATACATCACCGGTTATTATCAAGCGTACAAGGATTGAACAAATATTATGTGATTCATCATTCGCTGATTCTCACTTGCAAATGGAAGATAATGTACGACCTGTTACGAACAATAACCAATCTAATTCGGTTATTCATAGCAACAAAGGAAGGAGAAAAGGCAAACAAATAAATGAGAAAGGTATAACTTGCTTACATTTTTGGCATGTCAAATAATTGTCCCCATTTTCATGGCTCATCTGCTGTTGACATTGACACATTGTCATTTGTTACATAACATTACCATTTGTTGTGTACTTCTAGGTTTGTACAATGATATACACAATGTGGGATCACCAACTTTTGTTTGCAAACATTGTGATGCTATGCTTTGGTATGGAGAAAGAGCTGAGAAATCAAAGAGCCCTCAAAACCCAACTTTCTCACTATGCTGTCGAAAAGGATCTGTCAAATTTCCTCTCCTCAAGCATCCTCCTGTTTTTCTCTGGAATCTGTTAACTGGTCATGATAGCAGAAGCAAGAAATTTAAAGAAAATATCAGAAGTTATAACTCAATGTTTGCATTTACTTCCTCAGGCGGGACAATTGACAATACATACAATAATGGAGGTGGGCCTTATTGTTTTCGTCTGAATGGTCAAAACCATCACAGGATAGGTTCTTTGAGACCAATCCATGGAAATAACCCAAAATTCTGTCAGCTTTACATTTATGATACAGATAATGAATTAGAAAACCGTATGAATGCATTAAATGATTACATGGAATTGGATTGGAATATAGTTGAAGGACTTCTAACTATGTTAGATTCATGTAATGAATTGGTTAAATGCTTTCGAATGGTGAGGGATAGACTATAGCAAGATAGTTTAATTCCTATCAAATTAATCATAAAGGCAGCCCGAAGCAGTGGTGGACGACATCAAAACATGCCAACAGCAGGGGAGATTGCTGGCTTAATTGTCGACAACATTGAAGATACGATTGGCATTCGAGACATTGTCGTTGATGATCGTAAATTGGGATTAACAAGGATAAGTGATCTCCACCCAAGCTTTATGGCAATGCAATATCCACTACTTTTTCCATATGGAGAGGATGGTTTTAGACTTGGCGTGGAACTTAATCAGAATAGCAACAATCCTCAGAAAAAAAGGAAAGAAGTTACATACATGGAGTATGCTTCATTTCGTTTGCAGCAGCGCCAGACTGAGGCACAAACATTACTCTTATCAGGGAAACTATTACAAACTTACATTGTGGATCTTATGACCTGCATTGAGGAGGAAAGACTTCATTGGGTTAAAGTTAATCAGTCAAAGATTCGTGCGGAGTTATACTGTGGTATCAAGGATGCACTACATAGAGGAGATACTGAAGGTGCACAAGTAGGTAAGAGAATTGTTCTACCTTCCTCTTTCACTGGCGGACCACGTTATATGACCCAAAATTACCAAGATGCAATAGCTCTTTGCCGTGTTATGGGAAACCCTGATCTTTTCATCACGGTAACATCAAATCCAAAGTGGAATGAAATTCTTGAATTTCTCAGAAATAATGGCGGACAAAGACCCGATGAAAGACCAGATATCGTCGCAAGAGTGTTCAAGATCAAACTAGACTCATTGATGGAGGATCTACAAAAGAATAATCATTTTGGAAAGTGTATAGCAGGTATGATTTAATTTATCATATTTACACCTCTGATCATTCAGATATAGATATAGATGTAATCACTTTTTAATGAAATAAATATCATCCAATAGTTTAATTAGCTTCTCAAACAATGTAAAGCATCCTCTTGATTACATGCTTAAATTTAGTTGTAAGTACCAAAGTTAAAGCTTACACCATTTATAAGTAATCATTTCTATAATATGAGAAAAAAGTAATTAATATCAATTACAATGTCTGAAATAAAACATTAAAGCAGACACACACTATAATTGTGAGGAAAGGCACATAAATAACTTCAGTTTTTGGTTTATGAAATAAATTCTTCGACTAAAAAAAGGCAAGTCAGGTACCTGATCATGAACCAATTTTATTAATCATTTTTGGCAAGTGTATAGTAGGCCTAATTAACTAAGTTATATTTACATCTCCGATCATTGAGATATAGATGCAAACACTTTTTTTATGATATAAATCGACCATAATATCAATGGAATATAAGCAAATAAACTCCCAGCCACATGTTTGACTTTTTATGATATAAATCGACCATAATATCAATGGAATATAAGCAAATAAACTCCCAGCCACATGTTTGACTTTTTTTGAAGATAAGGCAAAAAATATATAACAGAAATAAACTCCCAGCCACATGTTTGACTTTTTTTGAAGATAAGGCAAAAAATATATAACAGGTGAACAAGCGATTTAAATGATCAATACTGCCTCAAAGTTACACAAGCAGTTCCTTCCCTTTAGTATGAAGAAAAAGCCACAAAAGAGAGTTAGTTAAAACTTCAAATTGGACTAACAACACTCATCTTAAACAAGCAATTTAAATGAGCAACTTATAGGCAATATATATATATATATATATCCCCAATTTTATTTACAGATTTCAACAAATTACTGCATCCACAGTCAATAGGATTTTAAGAGGGAAAACATCAACTTATAACATTAAACTCATAAACTTCATGAGAAAATAGAGTGCTTAAAACATAATTTTTGTGAAACATAACATTTTAATTAATAAATTATGAACCATCTATACTACTGATAATAAATTTTTCATCATACATGATAAAACAAGTTCTATCAATTATAAAGGCTACATGATAAAACCAATTCTTTCAACTATGTATGATTAAACTCATAAGCTACAAAATAGCACCAATTCCTACTAAAATTAGAACTAAACAAGCTCGAATTCATCAGCAAAATCTATGAGGACTTACTAGAGCTCAGGATAAAAATAGATTGGTCATAAAAGATTGCCTCTCCTATAAAACTATGATGCAATGTAGGCTGCTATTATGAGGGATTACATCACCCAAACATTGTAATATCAATGTAGGTGGCATTCCACACAGAATTGCCTCGCCTAAACATTACATAATTAATTAAAATAGGATGCATTCTCAGTTTGTTATCATCATCACTGCCCATCTAAAAAAACATAAACCAAAAGAACAAATACCAGAATTGAGTACCAAAGAAAGCCATTTGTCATTAAGCTCAAACCGACCATAATATATCACAAGAAGCCAACAACCAATACCTCAATGTAAGCCCAAAAAGCCAACAATAAAAATTAGCAACAAGAATCAATAAAGCCTTTTATTTTGTAGTTATAACTGACATTTTCCTTTCCTCAAAACATCAATCAAGTTAAGAATGTACATCCAAACTACTCATGCTACCCAGTCACGCTAAATGGTGGGTGCACTACAACAAAGAAACTTAATGATAATAGAATAAGTTTTTTTATCACTTTAATTCGTCATTGTATACTAAAATGCATATGTATTTGTTTATTGACAGCAGTATATACAATAGAGCTGTTGAAACCTTCAAAGCTTTTTACTGTTAAAACATTCAAAGCTCTTTATTTTGTTCAACGAGAACTTTATATTTACAGATTAATTTATACTTTAACTTAAAAACATTCTAAGCTTTTTACTGTTAAAATTCATCATTCTAGAAAAGAAACTCCATAATGCAAATTTAAAACCTAAGCATAAGTCAGTTAAATAGACAGAAGATACTATCACATCTTCCCATTTAAATTCCTGTTACAATAGAAAACTTAACAAATATCAAGCAAATTTAATTGACCAGATAACTATATCTAACTTCATTTATTCACATCTTACTGCACTAACCAATTCCTTTTTTGTAAATCAGTAAGACACACTGAATAAATAACCAGATAACATGAATTAGACTCCCCAGTATCTAATAGAAAACAACAACTTCTCCATGTTAAAAACTGAAAACGCTGACCTATTCACAAAAATGAAACAAATTTCATTCATTCATATTCATTCAAATAAATTAGGAAACACATAAAAAGCAAGACGAAGAAATAGCTAAAATTTCACAACGAAACTGAACCAGATTTCTAGAAGATGAGATAGATAAACCAAATTTAATGAATCTAGCATGATATTAAGAATAAATAATACCAAAAATAGGGAAACAATAGATTAACAAATTTTCATGCTTTTGATATCCAATTATTCATCAACTATTCGACAAAAGGGAATATCATGAATGAATGAAACCTGTAATTGCCAAAATCCAACAAATCAAGCAAAATCCGACGAAATCCATCAAGGAAGGCAGTGAATCACAAATTAATATGGACATACAGACTCAAAAAGTACACAAATTAATTGCAAAAGGGATTTTTTACCTTTCCAGTGAGAAAAATCAAAGATGGTTCTGCAGTTGACACCTCATGTACATATAAATGGTTAACCAAAAAAAACAAAAGAGAGGCAATATGTGGAAAAATCAAGTGGAAAAAGTAATCAAACTTGCTACATACCTCTTCAAAAGCAGGCGTTGCTACAGTAGCTTGCGGGCCCCACACATTCATCTTACAAAATTTTGAAAATAACCACCAAAATGTTGAATGCAAAACTCTTCAAACCATCTGTTCAAAAGAGCAGCAATCTGAAAAAAACTTTAAACAAAAAAAAAGAAAATAATTAGCAATCTGTGAAAAGAACATTATTCAAAGTTGCTTGAATAAATCTTCAAACCAATCGTTGATACAGTGTTTTGTGGGCCCCACACAAGCCACTTGCAAAATTCTGCAGTTGACACCTCATGTACATATAAATGGTTAACCAAAAAAAACAAAAGAGGCAATATGTGGAAAAACCAATTCTTTCAACTATGTATGATTAAACTCATAAGCTACAAAATAGCACCAATTCCTACTGAAATTAGAACTAAACAAGCTCGAATTCATCAGAAAAATCTATGAGGACTTACTAGAGCTCAGGATAAAAATAGATTGGTCATAAAAGATTGCCTCTCCTATAAAACTATGATGCAATGTAGGCTGCTATTATGAGGGATTACATCACCCAAACATTGTAATATCAATGTAGGTGGCATTCCACACAGAATTGCCTCGCCTAAACATTACATAATTAATTAAAATAGGATGCATTCTCAGTTTGTTATCATCATCACTGCCCATCTAAAAAAACATAAACCAAAAGAACAAATACCAGAATTGAGTACCAAAGAAAGCCATCTGTCATTAAGCTCAAACCGACAATAATATATCACAAGAAGCCAACAACCAATACCACAATGTAAGCACAAAAAGCCAACAATAAAAATTAGCAACAAGAATCAATAACGCCTTTTATTTTGTAGTTATAACTGACATTTTCCTTTCCTCAAAACATCAATCAAGTTAAGAATGTACATCCAAACTACTCATGCTACCCAGTCACGCTAAATGGTGGGTGCACTACAACAAAGAAACTTAATGATAATAGAATAAGTTTTTTTTTATCACTTTAATTCGTCATTGTATACTAAAATGCATATGTAATTGTTTATTGACAGCAGTATATACAATAGAGCTGTTGAAACCTTCAAAGCTTTTTACTGTTAAAACATTCAAAGCTCTTTATTTTGTTCAACAAGAACTTTCTATTTATAGATTAATTTATACTTTAACTTAAAAACATTCTAAGCTTTTTACTGTTAAAATTCATCATTCTAGAAAAGGAACTCCATAATGCAAATTTAAAACCTAAGCATAAGTCAGTTAAATAGACAGAAGATACTATCACTTCTTCCCATTTAAATTCCTGTTACAGAAGAAAACTTAACAAATATCAAGCAAATTTAATTGACCAGATAACTATATCTAACTTCATTTATTCACATCTTACTGCACTAACCAATTCCTTTTTTGTAAATCAGTAAGACACACTGAATAAATAACCAGATAACATGAATTAGACTCCCCAGTATCTAATAGAAAACAACAACTTCTCCATGTTAAAAACTGAAAACGCTGACCTATTCACAAAAATGAAACAAATTTCATTCATTCATATTCATTCAAATAAATTAGGAAACACATAAAAAGCAAGACGAAGAAATAGCTAAAATTTCACAACGAAACTGAACCAGATTTCTAGAAGATGAGATAGATAAACCAAATTTAATGAATCTAGCATGATATTAAGAATAAATAATACCAAAAAAATAGGGAAACAATAGATTAACAAATTTTCATGCTTTTGATATCCAATTATTCATCAACTATTCGACGAAAGGGAATATCATGAATGAATGAAACCTGTAATTGCAAAAATCCAACAAATCAAGCAAAATCCGACAAAATCCATCAAGGAAGGCAGTGAATCACAAATTAATATGGACATGCAGACTCAAAAAGTACACAAATTAATTGCAAAAGGGATTTTTTTACCTTTCCAGTGAGAAAAATCAAAGAATCATGGCAGATCTAAACTAAAAATCAAAGAATCATAGAGAAATTACACCTGTAATTGCCGAAATCCAACAAATGAAGCAAAATCCGACGAAATACCTCAAGGAAGGCAGTGAATCACAAATTAATATGGACATGCAGACTTAAAAAGTACACCAACTAATTGCAAAAGGGTTTTTTACCTTTCCAGTGAGAAAAATCAAAGAATCACGGCAGATCTAAACTAAAAATCAAAGAATCATGGAGAAATTATACCTGTAGTTGCCGAAATCCAACAATCATGGAGAAACTAACAATTAATAAACTATTTGTTAATTATATATTTGGTTTATTTCCACCTCTGACGCCGTAACACCTCCTGAATAATTCCCTCCGCCTCTG